GCAAGAATCACCAGCATGGGGGGCAGGCGCCCTGAAAGTGGACTGCAACCTGGAGTAGCTACTCTGCCCCAGTGCAACACGGGCTCCCGGCTCCCACTGAAATCTTCACCTGACATGCACCTGCCTACCCATTTTCCCAGAGAACCTTTTGCATCCTAAGAACGTTTGCGGTGTGCTCAGTTTCCATTCCTACGCTTCTGCGTCTGCATCGTATCCACCTTGCTCTCGCTGCAGCCATCAGCTTCCTAGTTTTTTCCATCTTTTCTTTTTCTCACACCGGCCAAATTTCACTGAGTTCCATTCCTCAGTTAGGCATCAAAGAGAGCCAGATTAAAGCCGGCCTGTCTGACTGTGGAGGCGACTGGGTACAAGCGGGTGCCTTTAGTTGCTCTGAGAGTCACTGTCTGTCTCCCCCTTTGCACCCACACCCTGGCTCCTTGCTCAGGCTCCATCCATTCATCCCTCCTCCTCCTCTGGTCCATTGGCAGCTTGCCCACCCCATAGGGAATGAGTTGCCTGGTTACCATGCAATGGAGCTTGTCGAGATGGCTTTCACATCCTGGTGGCGGCATGACTGAAATACCAAAAGGGCAAAGAGAAAGCAGTTTAGAGCCGATTCCTGGGCCATTTGTGGGTCAAGGAAGCCATTCTGGCCCTCGGCTTTCCTCAGAGACTCCCACAACCGATGCTGATCTTAATATCTTAAGCCCCCAAACACACGATTCCTATTTCAGGTTATGTTTCCCATGGTTGGCCTGCATGTTATTTCCAGTTTGGGCGTCTTCACATGCATTTCACTTCGTCACCTCGTTTTCTTGCTCCATAGCTGGGCGCTCACAATATTCTCATTCCACCTGTCGGCCCTCGTGCTACCAAACACGTGCGAAGTGCTTTCTGTGTATTGGGACCGCTTGCCCATTATGATAAAGTGCTATATTTCTCTCTGCTGATCTAGCAATCTCAAATAATCTCAATGAGACACGGAGGGCACCAGATGCCTTCTTAAAAATGATCTCCACCCTTCCCACTCGTAACCTTTCCTTTCATTTTACGGTGTCCCTGGGCTTTAATCCCGGAAGGCCAAGTCCAGTGAGGGGACCGCTTGCAAAACGGCAGATAGGCCATGCTGGCTGGGAATAATGGGGGTCGTAGTTCGACACCCAGTTGGGGGTGGCTGAGGCGTCGTTCCCCTCCGGCTTTGTTTGGCTGGTTGCTTTGTCCTGCATCGCCCTGCCCCCCCCCCCCGCCCCCAGCTTGGCCCCCTGCAGGTCACCTCTCTGCTCCTCCCATGGGCAGAGCAAGCCACTGTGGCAGATCCGATTCCCCCTCTCCTACTTGTTAAAAGGTTATTTGGCAGGCTTTCGAAGTGAACAGACCAGTTCTGTCCCAGAGCTGCGTGGAGGTTATAAATAATCCTTTGGCAACACGTGTGCCAGTAGATGCAGGCTTAGCCTTTGCGGCTGATCGGATGTCCTTCCTGCTGCTCTGATTTGTGCAGCCGGTGGGTGCGAAGGAGGGCGGTGGCCGAAGCCCAAAATGCACATTTTGCAGTATTCACAGCTGTGTTCAGCAATCTCTGCACACAGGATTCTGCCTTTTTGTGGGCCGGTTTGCAAGTCATGGCTGCAAGAGATGGGTTGTTTATCCGATTATTATTTCAGGGTTTTGCATACCTGCTGGCTGCGACTGTCTCAGGACAGTCACAGCCTCTGATAAGAATCGGTTCTGTGTCCTGTGAGCCCAGATGCGACCCAGTCCACATGATCACAAAAGCACACCTGTGGCGGCTTCCGTGACAGGTTTTCATGCGTGCCACCTGCCATTTTGAATATGCAAGCCATGGGTTTTCCCAGGGTGATCGGAGGGTTGTTTAACTTTTAAATAGCCCACGATACCGATTCACACGATGCAACAAGCCATCGTGTACTCCCACCACAGCCTGTGTGTTTTAGGTGAATTATTTTATTTATTATTTATTTATTAAAACGTTTTTATGCCGCCCCATTCGCCAAAGCCTCGGGGCGGCTTACAACAAATAAGTTAAATAACATTTTAAAATATATACATTAAAATAAATAACAAATATACAATATAAAATAAGAATTAACGCACAGTGACTTGCCATGACATGCAAACAGGATTGTTCATTGTGGGTTAAACAACCCTAAGCAAACTTCCAATTAGCTCTTGGGTTAACTTTGGGTTGTTTAGCTGTAAGAACTAGACGTTCTCCCCTTTGGGGCCTTCTATAAATGAACATGGAGATTAATGGAATTCTGAGCACTTTCTTTGGTCATTTTACCTGTGCCTGCAGGTAGCTTGGTACCAACAGGTGCCACATTAAAACCCCAAGAATAGGCAGCATGAGGGTCGTGTTGGGCAGACACCCAAGTCCTTAAGCACTAGGTTTGGGGCAGACCTACTGGTCTGGGGGTGAAGGTGAAGGCTGTTATCATCTGAACCATGTAGCTCCAGGTAAGCCTTCAGCAAAATGAAGCTCAGCGGGCCAATTCTGTCTGCAAACAAACCCTTATCAGGCATATACTTGGATGAAATGCCAGAAGCGAAAGGTCAGCCGCTGAACTTGAATGAAGCAACCTGCTGCTTTCCCCTTTCTCCCCCAAATCCCATCATGTTCCGCGTACCTTTGACTGGGTCTCTCGAAGTATTTATGGGTGAATATAAGGAAGTTACTTCTGACATGCCTTTGTTTAAGAAAACAGAAACAAAGTCCAGTTCATCAAGATTTTCAACTCTTTTTCAAGTTTTGAATAAGGACAAAGGTTTATTAATTTTTTTAACACTTTGAGCAGAACCTCAGACTTGTTGTCCCTCCGAGGCTGGGAGCAGGAAAATGCAGAGGCCCTTCTGCTTGGAGAGTTCAGCTGAGATGTTTCTTGCCACACAGGGTGAAACCTCAAAGCCGCAAGACTTATCTCTGGGGCAAGCACTTAGGGGGAATTCCAGGGGGCAGGGAGATGAGGGGTGGATGCTCTGGGTGCCTCAGCCCCTTCTCCTGGCAAAGGGAGGGGAGCATTTAAACAGTTGAAAACAAACCATGCTTTAGGGGGTAAGGGGAGGGTGCAGAAGGATTGGTGCTCCTTTCTCCCTGGACAGGAGGCCCTGTGGTCGAAAGCTTGCAAGGAACTGCATTCAGTCCTCTCTCTTGGTGGCCAGGCGGTATAGTCCTGAGCGCTCTTTGCTGCCTCTGGTACCAAAGGCAGTGTGCCTACATACCCCAGCTGATGGGGAAGATGGGCGGGAGGGTGCGATTGTGGTAGGATCCTGTGAGCAGCTGGTTGGCCATTCTGGGAACAGAAGAACACTGGCCTGGACAGTCTCCAGGTTCAACAAAAGGCCTTGTTGTCTTTTCCATAAGGCATTCCACTCCCCCCCCCGCCTCCTTGACCTCTCAGATACAGCCCCCGTCCAAAATTATCCTGCATCCCGTGACTGACAGCTGCCTCTTCGGCACGGATCGCGTGACAGGAGCGGGGCGTGCGTGTCTGTATGTCTGTTTGCGCACCCGGCTTGCAAAATAGATTGGACTGCAAAAGGTTGCCCAGGTCACGCTCTACTCCCAGCAGTGTGACCAAGGTTCATGAGCTCGTCTCTCGCTGGAAAGGCACAAATAAACAGAGGGAGGTTTTGGAGGGAACGCTGGTGTCCAAGGCCCGGATTTTTAGCCAGCTGTCCATCAAAAGTTCTGTGGAGCAGCTTACAAAAATCCCAGAGCAGGCAGCCCCTGTGTTTAGGCTTGCAAGCCACAAAGGCGGGCGATATGAGGAAAGGGGTTGGAAGGGGGAAGGAAGAAGAGCAGCTCTTCCATACTTGTTTTGGTTATTCCGGTGGGTGGGAAAAGGCTCAAGCCAACTGTTCTGTATGGCATCTGTTGGCCTTCTAGGCCGTCCATTTCTGGTTTTCTTCTGCAAGCAAAAGGGTTACATGGTTATACTAGATTATCTTGTGCAGTTTCTTCTCTGTTTGCGCAACAGAGAAGGTGTGATCCATTCAGGTCCATCAAGGGTCGGCAGGCCTCACTTGGAACAAGTTTGGACGAGAATGCTGAGCTCCACCGATTTGAGTTGTGGGTCTCAGAAAATCCAAAAATGGAGGCTTAATGGTGTAAACAATGGCCTACTAGGAAAGCTAGTGCGGCGTGGTGATCAGAATTGGGACTGGGACTTGGGAAATCCAGGTTTTAGTCCCCACTTAGCCACGGATGGCACTGGGCCAGCCACTGGTTCTCACCCTGGCCTACCTCACGGGGCTGTTGTGAAGCTAAAATGAAGAGGAAGGGAGCCTTGTGAGCTGCCTTGAGCTTCTTGCAACAAGAAAAAAGGCAGGACATAAATGTCACGGCAAGAAGATTTCACAGCCGTAATCCGAAATGCGCTTTGTGGTTGTGTATTTGCCATTTTTAACCAACGCAGCAGCCAGTAGGGCTATGCCAGGACCCCTCCCCTGGCATCCGAGGGGCTGTTTCTTGCTTTCGAGTAAATACTTCTAGGATCGCAGGCTTACTCATGGGACGCTGAGCCGGCTTACTCGGGCGTAAGTCCAGCGGGCCTGCCAGGATCGACGCCCGCCTCCCTCCGAGCGAGCCAATCCCCTCGCGAGCCCGTTCCACTACCTCCCATTCATAAAAACGCGCGCACGCAAGGCACGCAAGGCACGCACAAAGGGGCCGGCGCCGCCCGGGGAGGCGAGGCCCCGCCCACTCGCTCTCCCTCTGCGGCCGGCGCTCTATTACGCGCGCCGCCCCAGCCGCGCCTCCCGCGCGCCGCGCCTATCGCGCCGCTCGGAACGCGGTGACGTCAGCGGTCATGCCCGCGCCACGCCCTTTCCTTTCCACTTCGCCGCCGGCCGGGCGGCCTCGTGGTTGGCTCGGCGCGCACGTGGAGCCCGCCGCCGGCGTCGCGTGATCGGGAGGCTGGGTCGGCGCAGGCGCGGCTCGCTCCGACCGTTCGCAGTCCCGGCGGCGGCGGCGGCAGCAGCAGCGGGAGCGGCGCCGCGCCGCGCACGGCTCGGCTCGGCCCGGCTCGGCCCGGCGGCGGTGGGCGGTCGGCGGTGGGCGGGCAGGCATGGCCGGCGGCGGGACCGCGCAGGAGAAGAGCACGTTGCTGCACCTCTTCGCGGGAGGGTGAGTCCCCCTCCTGGTCGCAGCGCCTTTTCCTTTTCCGCGCATCTTTCTCCCGCTCCGTTGATTCTCGCGCCCCCCTTCCCCATTCATCTCGCCCTCTTCCACGGCCTTCATCCTCCTCTTCCTCCTCCTCTTTCCCCCATTCATCTTTGCTGCTGCTCTGCTCTTCCTTTCCCCCACTCATCCTTTCCCTGCCCCGCTTCTCCTTCCTTCACCTCCCAACACATGCGCGCACTCCTTCCCCCTTTCCCCGCTCTCCTTTCCTGCCTTCCATCTCCTGCAGTCCTGGAGCTGGAGAGGATTCCAAAGGGATCCCATTGCCTGGCCTTTGTTTGCCTGAGGCTTTTTGCCTCTGCAGCAAAGAGTAAAGCAGCCTTTCCCATCCTGGGCCCATCCAGATATTTTGGACTTCACCACCCATCAGCCACAGGCTGCATGGCCAGCAGTGCTGGGAGGCATGGCCCCCAACGTTTGGAGTAGAGCGGCCTTGTTCTGTGGCAGTGCACTGTTGTCTCGTCTGTCAGGCATCCCAGGCACTCGTTTGGCACCGGCTTTCCAAAGGACCATAGATTTAAGGGGGGGACCCAGAGGTCATCCAGTCAACCCCTTCACCAGTGCAGAGAGCTTTTGTTACTGCATCCCTGATGGGCAGGCATCCCCCTCTGCTCCAAAAACGTTGATAAAGGAGAGCCCACCAGCTTCTTCCTAGTGTTCGGTCAGAATCCCCGTTCTTGTAACGTAACCTTGTATTTGTGTTATCTGCTCAGAGGGTCCTTGGGACGAATTGCATTGCAGAATGTCAGCTGAATATATAAATAATAAACAATAGGAATAGGAACATAATAGGGCTTTGTGGGTTTGGGCCCCAACCTCTGAAGCAGAATTGGTCCATCCAGAGTAGCAAGCATTCATAGCCTGTATGAATTTGTCCAGTCACCCTTTAAAGCCACCCCAACTTGAAGCCATCCCAAAATCCTGAGGAAGTGGATTCTAGAGTTTAAATGTGTGCTGTGAGAAATGATGCGAGTTGCGGAGTTTCCTTCCAATAAGACTAGGTCTGCTGCTTTGAAATGTTAGCCCAGGGGGAGGGCAGCTGTGTGCCCCCCAGATGTTTAGGATTTCAACGCCCATAAATTCTTCAACACCGGCCGTGTGACTGGAGCGGTAATTCAGCAATGCGGAGAGTTTCTGGCTGCCTTCCCCCTGATCTAGAATGTCAGATCAGAACAGTGGAGACCCAAGTTCTCCCACTGTGGGAAGCTCAGTGGGTGAACTCACAGCACAGCTATGCTGGCTGGGGACGATGAGAGTTGTAGTCTGGCGACACTGAGAACCACGGAGTTGTGCTGGCGAGAGCATTGGACTGTGAGCTTTGTGTTCTAGTCTCCCTTTGTCCATAAAATTCAGTGGCTGATTTTGGGGCTCACTCATTCTCAGCCTACCCTACCTTGCAGGGTTGTTGTTGCATGGATAAAATGGAGCTATGTCAGCTACCGGGAGATTCTGGCAGAGAAAGAAAACATGGAATGCAGGTGCAATATAATAATAACAATACCTGGCAAGGCACACATTCCCCATCCCTGCTTGTAGTGTGTATGTAACTTTTCAAAAGTGCCCCCCTTACCCAACAACCATCATCAGCTTCATCCAACACGGGCAATGCAGTGGTCAGGGATTATGCGAACTCAAGCCCCAAACCATCTTGAGGTGGCCAGTTTTGGAAAAGCATTTCCGGAGAGTGCGATTCTCATGCCTTCTTTTATCAGCCAGTTGGTGTAACACAAAAGCGAAATGAGAGGCTTTCATGGCCTTTTCAAACTGCTGGTTCCGTTCACACGACTGATGCACTCTTCAGGGAGGTAAACTTCCCTTTTTGTGTTTTGCATGCACACTTAGAAATGCCAAGGTTGTCACACTGCAGCGCAGGGGCCCTTTCTTCCCCTCCAAGTCACCAGCTCTTGTGTGTATTCCTTTTTGTGGTGTGGAAGCCAGGCTGGGGGTCATTTCTGTTCTGCTTCAGCTGCCTCACGGCCCACCATCACGGCCCCCCCCCCCCCTTTGGCTGCACAATTGTCATACTTTGCAAAGGCTCCGCCGTTCTTTGCTGGCCGTGTGTCCCGATGCAGCTGCTGTCTTGTGCAAAGCTGTGTTGAAGACACATCTTTCAATAGCTGCATCACTGTGGGCTCAAACATTGCTGGGGAGAGACGTGTGCTTTCGGTGTTGCGGAACCTGTGAGGATATTTCTGTGCAGGGCATCTCCTGCGTGTGTTTTGCACTCATGGCATTGTGAGGATGCAAACCCGTTTTGCTTTCAATTTCCAAAAATGCAGAACTTGCTTCAAAGCGGCATGTGTCTGTGTCTGTGTGTGTTTATTCAGAAGGATGTCTTGCGTGGCATTCCGTGGGGCTTGTTCCCTGGCGAGTGAGCTCAGGTGCCACGGAAAGCACCCATTTTGTGTGTGGGTGTGATTATTTTCAATTAGTGTGTCTTCCCAGGGACTGCAAAAATGCCAGTGCCCTTCAGTCCGGAGGAGGCATACGGGGCTAGAAAAGGCTGACCATGCATGAGGTTTGGGTTGTTACTTTCTGGTTTGTTCTGATGTGTGAACCAAGCCACAGTAACCAACCATAAATAAACCACAAACCATCTAGAAAGAGAAGCCATCATTTGTTGTCGAGTTCTGACCTTCGGGCTAATTAACCCATGGTTTGTTGTTGTTTGAACTGTGGGTAGTTTAGGGGATTTTTCACCATGCTATAAAGTTGGCGACCTCTCTGAAGCATTGTTTTGTAGAAAGAAGTACTCTCTTCTGAAGTCACAGTTCATCAGTTTAATTGGCTGGTGATTATGGTTTTGATAGCTCAGTTCTGTGCTTCCACACAATCATGCCATTTTTATCCTTTGTGTGTATATTTCAAAGCTCAGCCAACCAACCCTTAAAACTATGTGAACATTGCGCACAACCACAACAGTTGTTTTGTGGGGGCAGTGGAAAGCCGTAGACAACCTTGGATGTTTCTGGTTGTGACATATCACCTCTTAGCATATCAACATTTGTCTTGCCTTTATTTTTTTTATGTTGCCTTCTGAGTTCATTCATAAGGCTTTCCAGGTAAACCTTGATCCTTGAAATATTTGCACCTTCCCCTCCCATTAACCCCGTTCGGTATAATCAGGGTCAAAAAGGATGATGGGCCAAACATTTTCATGGGTTCAGCTCTTCTCTCCTGTCTGGGGTGGGAGAAGCGTGGCTTCTCCCAAAAAGCTGCCAAATGCTCTGAAAGCTGCCAGATGCTTCGTCAAATTTTGGCTCGGCATCACCTGCTCCCATTGCAGTTATCTTCCCTAGCGCCGCAGGATTCCTTCCTGGGACGTTTGCAGCCTTGAACCCCGTTCCTTCTGCACGCAAGGGACATGTTCCTGCCTTGAACTACAAGACCATCCCTTTAACAATGCTCATATCCATAAAAAGCAGAGTGTGCGGAGAGTGGGAGCGGTCCTCGAAGGGAAGGGTCACAGGAGTTCAGGCGCGGCAGAGGAGAAAACAGGCAGCGATCCGGGGCCGCCTGCCAACTCGTGGAGAGAAGCTGGAGAGTTAGCGAATGGGCGGCGGACCTCGGGGGGGGGCACACGGGGGTGTGTGTGTGTGTGTGCGCACGCTGTCAGAATACCCGGCACGCTGACAGCGGGTGCTGGGTACACGAGCATCCCGGCTGACCCCGTGCCTTGCTTTTAGAAGGATGCTTGTGGAAGGACCACCGTGTTTCTTCACAAACGGCTATTTTGCAGCTCATGTGCCCTATGCAACTCCGTTGTTAAAATCCGATTAGAGTCTTTGGGGAATGGATACCCCCAAGGGCCATAAACACGGTCCCGACCATCGCAGGGGCCGGTTGCTGGTCAACGAACCGGCAACTCGGGGCAGGGGGTTGCTTGTTTCTCCCACCAACCTGCTTTCTTCTCTGCTTGTTTGACTTTTCCGTCTAATTTTCACATGACCCGGATGGCCTCCTCTGGCGGCATATTTAGCTGTTAAGAAGCGCTATTAAAAGACAGCGGAGGAAGAGCTTAGCTGGAATGGATCTCTGTGCCTTTTTAAAAAAAACACTGAGTATGTGTACCTGGGATGTGGAAGGAAGTCCCCAAGCCAGAGCCAAGGGGATGAGTGGCGCTTAGAAACATAGAAACTGAGCGAGTCAGAAGGGACCTCCCGGGTCATCTAGTCTGACCCCCGGCTCCAGCCGGCTCCGCTCATGACATGCCCACCACTTCTATAACTTGCTGTTTTGAGGTTGTCCTCACACCTCCCTGTGTGGTAGGGGAAGGGTCTTCGCGTTAGACAGGGCACCTGGAGCACGGGGGGAGGGTTGCTATTTTGGGCCAGCCGCTTTGCCTTTCGCTCTTCCCCATCATGCCTCTGGGTCACCCACGCCTAGAACGTGGCCCCGAGCCTGAAATACTGCATGTCAGCTGCCTTCCTCAGTTCTGCTGGCCAAATCACCAGCCAGCTGCTTTAAGAGGCCCTTCTGGGACGGTCCAGCGGTTGCGTTGTGCATTGCAAAGATGCGGTGCCACTGTTGGTGAGCAACAGAGTCCCAAAGGCCTCCTCAAATCAGTGAAATAATCTTTTTGGCTGCAAGGGCCTGTCCTCCAGACTGATTCCCTTTCACTCCAGTGGGCACGTGAACAGCGCAGGAAAGAAAAATGCGGCCCCTGTGCAGGTTGCCGCTGCTGTATTTGCAGAGCTCAAAAGCCAATGTCAGACCTGGCTCTATACACCGTGTGGAGTGACAGGCAGATAACAGCTGGCTTCCAGAGCCCCCTCCGTGCCTGCCTGCCGTTCTGCAGACTCGGCAAGGGACCCTGATCATCGTCCTGCGCTCGGCGTTGCTCTTTGCAGAAATCAAATGGATTCAAACTGACTCGGAAGGCTGCCGTTGCTTTCACTAAGCAATGAGCCGCTCCGGATGCTTTCGCACCCCTTCCCTCTCCGCCTTTGGCCCCTGCCCAGTGACACATGCCATGCTGAGCTCAAGGGGTCTAATTCTGTGTGAGGCTGTGGTCCTGGGCAAAGATGCAGCACCCCCAGTGTGCTCTGAAGGTTCCCATGGAGAGGATCCTCACTGCCGCCTGGGCGTATTGCTTTAAGGTTTGCACGGCTCGAAATTCCAGCGATTCCTTTTCTGCATGACTAGGACAGAAGGAAGCAACATTTATTGGCAATTCCAAGCAAGAATTGCTTGGTATGTGTTCCTAAGGATTTGCTGGGATTGTCATCAGGGACTATTGCCCTCCAGATCTTCTGAGTCACATCTTTGTATTCACAGAGGATTCTGGGTTGCATCACAAACCACATTCTTCCATTCCTATAAACCAGCCTTTCCCAAAATCCAGTCTCCGGGCACTGTCTCGCCCACCGAGATGTTGTGGCCGTGAATGATGGGGCTTGCCACTGGCTGCTGCAGGAGCAGAATCTGGCTAGGCCACAAGGGCCTTTCCTATGTTCTTAGGTCCCTATTCAGCTTTCTGGGTTGGCATTGCCCATGTTTACCACCAAGCCCCGGCACTTGACGTTCTCCCTCGGCCTCAGTTTTTTGCTTCTGTGCCTCATCCATTACATGAACTGAGTGGCAAGCCAACCCAGATGTCCAGCGTTTTTAACTGGAGTGTTTCAAACAGGTTTCCCATTAACGAGTCGCGTGCAGGTCTTGGTTTTGCTTTGCTTTTCCTTACCGTTTGGTGCACTGCTTTTCTCAGGTGTGGCGGGACGGTTGGCGCCATCTTCACCTGCCCGTTGGAAGTGATTAAGACAAGGCTGCAGTCTTCGAAACTGGCGTTCCGGGCAGTGTACTACCCTCAAGTCCACCTGGGGACCATCAGCGGAGAAGGAATGGTCCGGCCTGCCTCTGTCTCTCCGGGCCTCATTCGGATTCTCAAGTGAGTCCAGCTCCTCAGCGTTGGCTTTGCTCGGTTGACGGCTTTTGTGTGGGACTTTCAAAGTGCCCAGGCAACTCTCTTGGTACCAGGCTCCCTTCCCCTTCTCATTTTCACTTGATTCAGGTCTATCAAGTCATTACTGATTACTGTATTATTGTATTATATTTGTTTGCAAAGCAGAATGCTGCCCTCCGGTCCCCTCTGCCTTCGGGTGAGCAGCGCTTCTGTGTTTTGTGCTCGCTCTGCAGCTTTTGCAACTCGGATCTTGGGCAAGTCGCCTTTTCTTTTTCTTTTAGTTGCACAACCTTGCGTTCTGGGAAATCATTGCCTTGGGCTCATCATTGCAGCCATTCAATGCACCCCCCTCCCCGTTTTGAGAGAATGCCCCGAATGCATGAAATTCCAGATGTGGCCAGCAAGCTGCAATGGGGGGGGGAGCCAAATGGAGCTGCCTAGGCTGTGAGGGGGGGAGCAGCCCCATAGCTTGGTGACAGAGGGCCGGCTTGGCAGGCAGGCAGGCAGGCCTGGGTGCAGCACCTTTTGCCTTCAGGTGGGCAAGAAGAAAGACCCCCGTCTGAAAACGAGGGGAAGCTGTTGCTGCTGCTTTGTGTGGACCAGATGAGACAACTTGGAGTCTTCCAGCTGTTTTGGACTATTGTTTGCCTCACTTATTCATGTTTACTGGAGCTGATGGGAGTTAATGGCCAGAATCTTTGGAAAACACCAGATGGATTGTTCCTTGGCTGTAAAAGTGCTGAATTAAATGGTCTGATAGCGCAGCTCTTTATCTTTCTGCTTGCTGCGTTTTTCCTCCAAGCCCCGAGTGGTGGACACAAGACAGAGGCCTTCTCAGTGGTGGCTCCACAGCCTCCAGAAACACCTCTAGGGAAGGCTGCATGGGTTCATCAGACAGAAAAGTCAGGAACATTTTTAACTGAACTTATTTTATCTGTATTTTATTTTATGTTGACTGAACTTATTTATGATAAAATCTTCATTTTAATCTGAATCCTGCTGCGATTCAGTTTTTAACTTCAACTCACCCACTGCCGGAAGGCAGGCCCTGAAATTGCGTTCAGTCCTTGGAAGACGAGAAGCTGCCCGGCCTGAGCTTAGGGCGGTTTGCACGGCTGCCGTTTGTTTGCAGCAAAGGGGAGATTCTCATCACGTCAGGTGCCTTCTCTCCTGATTGGTGGCCCCACAACTTTTGGCAGGTGGATTTTCCACCTGGAAGAGTGCCCTGCTGAGGGGGTGAATAGGTGTCTCTCTTCACCGAGTTTACTGCGTCTGCATTTTCTGTTGCTCTTTGGCTTGTGCTAAGGACGGCGCCATGCCTGACAAAACAGCCTGGTGGAAAATCTTTAAACAGATCACCGTGGTGGAACCCATGGCTTCCACAGGCAGTTGGCCTGAATCCTTATGGAGAGGGTGGAATCAGCCACGCAGTGCTCCCAGGGCTTGCCAAGAAGTTGCCGAGCAAAAGGGCAGCGCTCATTTGGCCTGTTTGACCTGGCCTGTGGAAACGTAGCTTTCGAGTGAGACCTTACTGTACTTCTGGGAGGGGGGAGGAAGGCTGCCAGTTTTACGACTTAGCCTTTCAAGGGACTAGTGTCTTGTGTTTCCATGTTGGCTGAAAAACAGATCCCCTTTTCTGCAGCCCACCTGGCAATACAGGATGTTGACATCTTGGCAGGCTAGTATGAAGCAAAATACCTTCTGATATTAAAAGCGATGTACACAAGCAAAGGTCAAGTTTCTCCAGCCTCCTGAGTCACCTGCCCGGGATTCCTGGTTGCCTATGCCAAGCAGGTGCGCTGTTAAATAAGAGAGTGAGCTGTTGGCTATTTCTGGAACTTTTGAATCCGCATTCCTTCACAAAGGGGCAAGAAAGTTTCCAGTGAGGCCGTTAAAATGCAAGAATCGCCGAATCACAAGCCAGGGAGGTAAAATAAGGGAATTGCAAGTGCAGGAGAGCCCTTTCAAACCGGGTGTCTAAAAGCCAGTGGTAAGGCAGCCAGCTTGCCGAAGGTTGGCGTCTAGACGGTGCCTGGAGGGGAGACCAGCTGGGGACCCCAAATAGCCATGCCAGAAGCAACAGCTGACTCTCTCAAGTGCTCCTTAGCAGACCGTAAATCCAGGAGTCGCCTGCCGTTTCTTCCACGTGCTCCGTCTCCTGCTTGTCCTCCTCCCCATGGCGGTTGTTTGGGCTGCGGTAAGAGGCGGGTGGGAAAGCGGACTGCAAGTGATGCGGGGGGGGGGGCTTTTCAGTGGGGCCCTGCTTGTCCAGAGGTCCTCAGCCACAGCCCAGCCCTGAACCTTCCAGTGCAGTCGGCTCTTCCCCCCGTGGGGCACTTCCCGTTTGCAAGCCCCCCTCCAAGGTCGTGCTGAGAGCTCACCTTTCTCCGTCTCTTTCTCCCCTGCAGGTCCATTTTGGAAAAGGAGGGCCCGAGGTCTCTCTTTCGAGGGCTGGGACCAAACCTGGTTGGAGTGGCGCCGTCAAGGTACAGATCGGGGGGCGGGGATGGGCCATCTAATTTTTCAGAATGCATGTGCTAATTTTGGGGGGGGGGGTCATTTAGATTTCCCACAGTGCTTCAGGGCGGCATGATGGTGCTGTTTGGATTCGGGGTGGTCGGTTCCACTGAAATAGCTGCCTGATAACGTTTGATCTTAAAAACACGCCAATGAAGGATTTCATGTGCTTGATGCAGATTTCTTGTCCTGCCCCATCAGTAGGGCTTCGGGTGTGTGGAAAGGTGCACGGCGGGCTGTATGAATGCCCAGTACAAAAAATTGCGTTGGACCCCATCTGTGCCTACCAGAACCTACAGTTCCCACCAGCCTCAGCCAGCATAGACAAGGGTGAGGGCTGATGGGAGCTGTAGGCCATAATTTCTGGAAGGCCACAAGTGGCCAGACTCGGTCATAAAACTATGCATTTTGATAACATCACAAAAATAGGCGTTTCTGTCTGTTCCCAGGGCAGTATATATTTAATTTTCTCATTGTACAGGAGAGGAAGTTTCTGTGGGAAGGAAATTTCATATCCATCTAATCTCAAAAAAGTAAAGTTTCTAGACCTTAACACTGTCAAGACTGGCTTGTTATGGTGTCGGTAAATAACAGGCGACAATACCGGCTTGAGGAGGGTGCTGAGCTGGATGGTAGTCAATCAAAGAAGGAGCCGTTCGAGGAATTTCCCATCGTTGCTCATGCAATTCCACATGGTTCGAGGTGAACCGTACAACATTTCTCTGTCTCACTCTTGCATGTAGGGTTTCTCTGCCAGTAAAATGCATAGATTTCCCCAGCATTACCTCCCTGTTTCTAGAGGATCCCGTTCAGGAGTACGATTGGTACATTTCTTTTATTTTTGTACTACCCAGTAGCCAAAGCACTCTCGCCTTTCACAGCAGTTCATAAATCCACAAATCACAAATCCATACCATTTCAAAATATGAAAGGTTAACACATTTGGGCAGCTACATACATTTGCAATAAGTAGACTGGATGAGTTAAAAGGACCCTTGATCGGAAGTAAGAGACTGGCTTAACCTGGCGCTGAAAAGGTGGTAGCATCAGAGCCAGACCGGTCTCCATGGGGAGATCATTGCACAGTGGTGGGGCCGCCCCCAAAAAGACCCTCGCCCTTGTGGTTGTCCTCAAAGCCTCCCCCAAGGTCTGCCTTGGAGGAAGGCCTTGGCTGTTTGGTCATGTCAGGTGAGGAGCGCCGTGTACGGCTTCAGAGCTAAAAGCAGCGATTGTAACTAGCAAAGCATCTTCTCCCCTCTGTAAAAACAGCAAAGGAGGGTTTGTCCCTTGGCTGACCTGCCGTCTTCTTCTGGAGGGCTTGAAAGCACAGCTACAATACCGGCCTTGCCGTGAAAGGCGCTTCTTTGTTTTTTGACGCTTTCAGATGAAAACGGCCTTGTTCTAATCCCGGCGGGAAGGGGAAACTGGGGAGAGGACATCTCTGCTGAAATGCAGCAAATACGTTTTAAAAAGCGGAAGGAATTCGTGGGTGGAGCTGAAATTCACACTCGGGGAATTACCTTTAGTAGGACAAAAACCAGCCTTGCACAGAAATGTTCCCCGGAGCTCTTCCTCGGGTTCGGTGGTACAGCGGATGGAGGAAAATTTCTCTGCACATCCCCACCTGGCCTGTGGAAGAGCTCTGGAGAACTCGGAAGCTTACACATTATTGCGGAATTCTGGGTGCGGCTTAACAGTGGTATTGCCCGACGGTGGAGAAGGGGAATATGGTTAGGTTTTGGGAAGAAAAGCAGCTTCCTCTTCTGCTGGCGTTCTCCGCAGGGGTGTGCTTTGAGCCGAACGGGCTGCAGGTTTCTGCGTGAGAGCGAGAAAGAGTCTTGTGGCATTTAACGGCTGACACATTTAGGGAAAAGTCCTTCTGTATTTAGACTGAAAAAGTTTCTCGCATGTGGAAAGACTGCGCAGGGGCGCAGCAGTAAGCCAGAAGGCGTCCCCTGCCCCTGACTGAAAGACCCCGAGGTCTCCGAAGCCTCCCCACCCGGCCAGCCCCATGCCTCAGCTGCATCCCACATGCCTCGTCGTTTCTGTAAGACATTTGGGGGCAGCACCTCCGGGCATTTCCTTGCCCTCCTTTTCCATGAAACGGAGAAATGATGCAGATGGTTTTGTGGGCGGCGGCGTGCCCCCCAGGACGGGATCACGTCTCACTCGGCAGGGGGGGCCCATCTTTTACGCCCCACCCCCTGCCATCTGTGGGTCTAATCCTACATTTTCCTCTTCCTTCTTTTGCAGGGCCGTCTACTTTGCCTGCTACTCCAAGGCCAAGGAGCACTTCAACAACGTGTTCGAGCCTGGCAGCAACACTGTCCACATCTGCTCAGCCGGCTCTGCAGGTCTGCAAGCGTACTTTTTATTTAATCCCTGTTTGAAAAATTAATACTTTAATTGTGTCGAGCAGGTGCTCTGATTTTGTCTTTTATGTCATTTTTTATTGAATTATGTTTTTATACATGCGACTTTATTATTATTGTATTATTGTATTTCAGTTTTATGGATTGTGAGCCATCCCGAGGTGCCAAGGCATAAGGGACGGCATACAAACGGTTTAAACAAACAAACAAACAAACAAACAATTCATTTGACCCTTCATTCCACGCCAGAACTGGCCCCGTCCCAAGATGCCAAGGCATATGAAAGGTTTAAATAAATAAATATTTAAATAAATAAATATTTAAATAAATAAATAATCTATTCATTTGACCCTTCATTCCACGCCAGAACTGGCCCCGTCCCAAGATGCCAAGGCATACGAAAGGTTTAAATAAATAAATATTCATTTGACCCTTCATTCTACGCCAGAACTGGCCCCGAGCCAAGATGCCAAGGCACACGAAAGGTTTAAATAAATAAATAAAGGTTTAAATAAATAAATAATCTGTTCTTTTGACCCTTCATTCCACGCCAGATCTGGCCCCCGACCTAGTTGTGGTAAGCATTTGGCTGCCTGTGATTCAGGAAGCCTTCCCTGAGCTGTGCCAAGTCTATTCCTCACTCCATAGTGCCATCTAGGGACTTCCACGGTGCCTCCCTGTCTGCAGCCTTTTTTTTAGACGCTGCTTCATCCGAAATGAAGGGAACTGCATCTTGCAGAAAATAACTGGATTGGAAAATGGGGAGATGCATCCGTGGTTGTGTCTGGAGCTCAGATGCATGCAGAAATGCTGACGTTTAGGTGAACGACTGGTTAGGCCAAAAATAAAAACCAGCAAACAGTTCTGTCCTTAAGCTGTTGCAAAAAACCATTTTTTTAAAGTTGAAGGGAAATTAAGAGCTGTCCAAACCATAAAGTTCAATATGAATGCATTTATATTATCCATGTTAAAATGTACTGTTATTTCTTACCCTCTTTTCCTTCTATGCAGCCTTTATCACAAATTCCCTGATGAATCCCATTTGGATGGTTAAAACCAGAATGCAGCTAGAAAGGAGGTAAGAAAGGGGGCGGGAAAAGCCCTGCAGCGAGCAAAGATACCTCTACACAGCTCACATTCAGGACTAGCAACGTGGGTAGTATTTCAGTCCCTGCAGACATTTCTCTGCCATGTGCCACAGGTAGTCCCTTTTTGGAGAATGCACAGCTAATAGTGAAACCATGATGTGAGAGAGCTGAAAGGAAAAAAGTCTTAACCCAGGACCGTCCCAATGTTAGACTGTAACTCAGTTTGCTGGTCACTGTTTGTTTAGGCTGGGGCTGATGGGGAGTGGTACTCCAGCTCTTGCCACGTGAACCAGCAGGAGTGAGTCAGAAAGCACATCTGAACGTTCCCCTGAATTCCCTGCATGTAGAAAACTAGGAAGTCAAGGCGGCTAGCTTAGAATGTGCCGGCTCTCTGTGCAGAAACATGTTCCCAGCGCGTTAGCATATACAGCGCAGCATTTAGACAAATCTGACTCCTACTTCCTTCTTCCAGATGGTTGCTAACTGGGAACAACCAGACGCTGCTTGGACTTTTCTGTTTGACGAGATAAAACACTGAACCAAACGGAAATTGTCCCAATTTGGAGCGGAAAATAAGAGACACCGGCCTTCTGTATTAGGTATTTTGCCTGTAATCCGCTTTTTGATTTGCATTTTCCATTGCTTTTCTAGAGTCAGAGGGCTGAGGCAGAGAAACACTGTGCAGTGTGCTCGGTATGTTTACCAGACAGAAGGCATCCGCGGCTTCTACCGGGGCCTCACCGCGTCCTACGCCGGCATTTCGGAGACCATCATCTGCTTTGCCATCTACGAGAGCTTGAAGCAGCACATGCGTGAGCTCCACTTGACCCCTTCTGCTGGCGGGCCAGAGACAAAGTCCACCAATTTTTTGGGGCTGATGGCAGCTGCTGCTATTTCGAAGGGCTGCGCTTCCTGCATCGCTTACCCACACGGTATGTGGAGCCCTTTAGGGCCTGGATTTATTTCTGTTTTTCGGTTTATATCCTGCTTTTTTCCTACAAAGGGCTCAAGGCAGCTTGCGTCATTCTCCTCCTCCATCTTATCCCCACAACAGCAACCCTGTGAGGTAGGTTGGGCCGAGAGCCTGTGACTGGCCCAAAGTCCCCCAGTTGGCTCCATGGCTGAGCAGGGACTCGAACCCGGATCCTCTGAGTCCCAGTCCCGTGCTCTTCACCACTGCACCACACTGGATGCCACCTTTGCGTGCAGAAGGTCCTGGCGGCGGTGCTTCCTAACAAGAGACGTGTAACACAAGGGTTAGAATTATCTTGGGCTGTCAACCTCCCCACTGTTTAAGTTTTTTAGCCCAAGAGTATTAAGTACATCCAAGCCCAGGGTGGGGAATAATTTTAAACAAAGCTCAGCATGTACCCTTGGAAAGTTAGGTTCATTTTCCCGAGAATCTTTCTGCTCACTTTTTAAAAATATGCAATTTCCAGCCATTTCTGTTACGGAAATGCGCTTGACAACTGAGTGGCTGTGAACTTTTGCAATCATGGCAGCTGGAGAAGAGGCTTCTATTATTTTATGGGGTGGTGGTTGGAAGGGGAAACAGAGACGCATGCCTTTAAAACTTTTTGAAGATGTTTAAATGAGCAAGATTAGGACATGAGGAAATTCGGCCCTGCTTTGCATGGGTCCAGGTTCGCATTATTTTGCCCCTATAAAACGGTTAGAAGCTCTCCTATTCTGGCTAAATATTTCCTGTCAAAGTCACTTGGCTCGTGAAGAATGCAGCCCTGACTCCTTGAAGCACTGATTTTCCAGGCAAGGAAATGTTAAAGGTGCTTTTCGGAGGGTAAACAAGGCTGAAAATGTGGCAGAGTGGGAGGGGAGACACACTTCATCCTGCTCCAGAAACAGGAAAGGGGTGCAAACCAAGCCAGAGCTTAACTTTTCAATAGGCTAATATGGCAGGATTAAGAAATGGGAGTGCCGCATATTTGGAAAACAAAATTCTGGGAAGTAAACATTTAGATACTGCCCCTTTCGTGTTAACTCAGTAAGTGCTTAACTGAGAATCTACTTGCTCTTACCTGTGGGAGGTCGTCCGCCCCCGTTGCATCCCTTCCGACAGAATCAGTGTGGCGTTGCAGTTACGGACCGGACCGGGACTTGGGAGATCCAGGTTCTAGTCCCTGCTCAGCCAGGGCCTTCACTGGGTGACTCTGATCCAGATGCTGACTCTCAGCCCAAGCTACCTCACAGGGTTGTCGGAAGCAGGGAAGGCTGGGCCGAGAACTTAAGGCAACAATTCCTGCCCCAAAAATGGCGCAGAAATTCCAGTATGTTCTCACCCTGACGTTTTGTCCTGTTTCTTTCCTGCCCACCTGCCACAGAGGTTATACGGACGAGACTACGGGAGGAAGGCACCAAATATAAGACATTCGTGCAGACGGCGCGGGTGGTGTTCCAGGAAGAAGGTTACCTCGCATTCTACAGAGGACTTTTTGCCCAGCTCATGAGGCAGATCCCAAACACAGCTATTGTGCTGTCTACCTACGAGTTAATAGTATACCTGTTAGAAGACCGAGTTAAGTAGCAGACCAAGACTGGTTTTTTAAAAAAATGAAAACACAGACACATATGCAAATCCACAGAGACAAACGCCACAAAGACCCTTTCCAGTAGTAATACAGGGCTAAGACAGAGTTGAAAAGTGACAGGCTGCTTCTTTGACACACTTAAGTGTTCCCCCCCCCCCCCGACCAACAACTTTCTATGTGTACGTGTGCGCCCTTCTGGAGCCGTGCTTTCTGAAATGTGTTTTTTGTCCATGTTAATAGATAAAATAATTATTTCTTTTTTTAACTTAAAGAGGCAAACCTCTGAAATTAAAACGACGATTAAATTAAATCACACTATTTAATTTATACATCAATCTTGGGTTGTCTATAATTCTCCACTCATGCAAACACCCTTTTTAATCACATCTTCATAAACTATGGATGTCCATTCAATGTATTGAGAACCTACAGACAGATGTACATTCAAAAGGTAATTTGCTGGGTCCATATAGTATGTGGTTTTGAGTTTTGGGGTGGTTGTGCTGTGCAAACATGGCTAACAAGCCATGGCTAACTATGAACAACCTGGAAAGATAAACCATGGTTTGTTGGATTGTAAACACTGGATGGGTTATTATTATTGTTATTATTATTATAATAACATTTCTATGCCGCCCCTTGCCGAAACCTCGGGGCAGCTTACAACACGGTAAAATACAATGAAATACAATAGCACATAATAAATTACCATTAAATACAAAATACAAAAAATACATTGGTTTACAAATATAAGATTAAAATTATCAATATAAATTAAGTAAATAAAAATATAGGAGGAGAAAGAGAAGGAGGAAGAAGTTGCCCTGGCCAGATCATATGTTTCAACAATTAAAATGATGTTTAAATAAAAAGGTCTTTACCTGGCGCCGAAAAACCAGTAACGACAGTGCCAGGCGGACCTCTTTGGGGAGTGAATTCCATAGGTTGGGCGCCACCATAGATTGTCATAACGTGAGTCCAGAACAATGAGTTGTTCCTCCTTTTTGGAGAAGACCAGCGCAAAAAAATTCACCCACTCTACTACACTTGGGATTCAGGGAGGGAAACAACCCGATGCAGGAACTGAGAAAGCAAACGGCAGTTGGTTCAGATATCTGCTATGAACCCCGAGCAGGACAACAGTGCATCAGTCAACTAACCATGGGTTTGTGTTCTGTGCAAATCAGGTTAGTATTTTGGCTTCTTTTGAACATACAGCTGTTTGCCAGAGTTGCTTTCATGCGCTGCAGGCCAGCATTGCACAAGTGTAAGAATGGGCACTTGCCATAATTTGGTGGGTCACTTATTAAATTAAAATTAAAAATAGGTTTAAATAGGTATTAAATTACAATTAAAAATAGGTTTCCAGTCCCAGTCCTATCTCTCCTATCCTGCATTTACTCCTGAAAGTGCTGGGGAATGCCTGATAGGCTGTTGAGAGTTTATAATTTCCTGGTGGGCCACACAGTGCAATTCTGGCCTTTGTTTACATCAACAAAGGCCTATTCTCAAGTAGGATTTTTAAAAGGGAGGTGGCAACACAGGTACCATATGTGGTACATCATCTGAAAGGTGCCAAACCTCACGCTCAGGGGCCAAATCTTAGTCGGCCTCCCAGTTTTTGTCTAGTTTTCCCCCGGTTTAAAAGGCTGAGTTGCTGGCAGCTCAGAGCTTTCTGCTAAAATAAGCTGGAGGTTTTGCTCTGCCCCCTCTGTGGTGCAGCCCCAGAGATGGAATTTGGCCCTCGGGCTGAAGGCACTTCTGTGCCCCTGCTCTAAAGGGAACCTCTTATTCCTCCCATTGTGTGACTGCAGTGCCCCATCCTGACCCAGAAAGCCGTGCCTTGCCCCCGCTGCCCCCATCTCTGTCATCCTCCTCTCGCAGGCTGCTGGGGCAGGGGGCAGAAGAGGGACAGGCCAAGCACCTCCTGTCCGAGCCCTTCTGAAACGAAGCCAAGGACTGCCAGTTGGCCATGCCAGCTAAAACATTAACATAATCCCGCAGTTAGCATGTGCTGAGAAATGCTGCATTTTCCAGCTCAACACACACACATGGATGCATCTGTCTTTATGTTACCATGTCCCTGCCTTTTTGACAAGGTAATGGGGGTCTCCCTGGCTCACGGACACATTTAAAAAGCAGCACATAAAAATACAATAAACCAGTGGCAGTTATGCAAGAATAATAAATTCTTACGGGATGACTTGAGGCAGGAACCACCGCCCTGAGTGCCTTCAATAGCGAGGCATTTATTCAAGGCCAACCCTGTAATTGTCAAGCATGCTCTCAAGGAGCCATCTCGGACACGCTCGGAGCAGCGGTGCAATTCCCAAGGGTGCTGAGCATGGCAGGGCTTTTCCCCGTGCGTTACATTTTTTTTTTTTGATTATGAATACTTTTTTTTTGATACTGCCCATAGCCAAAGATCTCTGGGCAGTTTACAACAATAATCATAGCATCATACACTCAAGTCCCCCACCCCAGTTCAGACCAGGCCTGCCCCTGCTTAGCTTCCAAGATTAGGCAGGATCAGGCACTTCAGGCTATATGGAAGTGCATCCGATTGCCTTAAAATTCGCCCGTGGGGGGGGGGGGGTCCACAGCCTCCAGCCAAAAATGTCCGCCACGACGCGTGATCCACGCCGGCGCCCCCCCACCCCCCCGGGCGAGCTCGGCTCTCGGGGGCTGAATCACTCCCCCTCCCCAGGCTGATTCACGCAGCCCGTCTGGCACGATCCTGCCCTTTCACGCGGCCGCCCCCGACGCCCCCAGCGCCCACGCCGCGTCCTCCGTCCACGAAGCGCGCTCTATAAGAAGCCCGGGCAGGCGAGCGAGCGAGCGAGCGAGCGCGGGGAAGCACCGCGGCCGCGGACCGGCGCATGTCGTGGGGATGCCCACCCGCGGGCAAGCCGGACCCGCCGCGCGCAGAGCCTGCCCCGCGGATGAGCAGCGCGCCCGCCCGGAGGTCAGCCTCCCTTCTTCCCACGGGGTTGACTCGCAGGAAAACCGTGCCACGCAGCGCGCTCCGTTCCCTCTCTTGGGCTCGCCTTCCGCATCGTACGGACTTAAAACAACGGACCCACTGAGACCGGCAGGAGCGGAGGTCGGGCGCGCCTCCTCGGGAGCAAGTCCCCGCTCCCCCGCAGGGCTCCTTCCCAGGAACGTCGCGGTTCCCCTCGCCCGCCTGCGGCGCGCACCCCGCGCGGCTCCGACCCAGAAAGGGACGGGCGCCTGAGGCGCGCGGGGCGGGTTCGGGCGGGCGCCAGCCGTCACGCCCCTCTCCCCCGCCGAGCCGCGTGGAGCCGGGCGCGCACGTGAGGAGCGGGGCGGACGCGGCTGCTGGAGGAGGCGGGGCGGCGGAGGAAGGTCACGGCGCCGGAGGAGGAGGAGGAGGAGGCGGCGGCGGGCGAGCGGCGGCGAGCGGCTCGGCCTCGG